TGCCCCGTGTTCGCCCTGTAAACTCAAAACCGTGAGAAGCATCGTCAACACTCTCCATCATTACCGCTACCCACATAAAGACTATTATTCATAGCAGATCTCAGCTTCGAAACCAACCGAGCCGCCCGTTTTTCAGAAAAAAGCGAATCTCCAAATTGTTTTATATACGTAATGAAGTCGCTGAGGTCAATCCAGATCGAACTCCAACGCGAGGATGGCTCGAATGCTCGCGTAGCATTATGCAGTCGTTACCAAAATGAGAATATATCAATATAGGCCGATGTAGTCATCCGAATACCTTTGTGCCGATTCGACATAATCTTAGCATGACATTTAGGCCTTGCGGGATCGAACTGAGCCGTTGGACTTGGAGCCAGTGGCGGTGGCACCGTTGGACTTCTTGACAGGAGTAGTCTGGACCAGATGAGGGTCGGGGAGAGGAGCTTGAGACATGCGTCGAAGGCTCTGTCGGCCTGTAGGAGCCTTGCCTTGCTTCTTGTAGGTAGCGAAGTAGAAGGAAATGAACAGAACGAGGTAAGAGCTGATGGTAATGATACCAGAGAAAGCAGCAAACTCCTCGCCAGAGCACTTTCCAGCGTTAGGCATCCAGGGGAAGTAGGTCGAGGTGAAGTAGGTGTAAGAGGCGAAGTAGATGAAGCCGAGATCAATGACGAACTGGATGATCTGGAGACGGGTAACCCACTCCTTCCACCAAACGCGGACACCACGAGCGCTCTGGAAGTAGTACCAGTACATAACGACGTGAACGAGGAGGTTCAAGACGATGGGAACCCAAGAGACGGAGGTGGAACCGATGAGCTGAGTGTAGCAAAGGAAGGCGGTGGCACCATGGTGATAGCAGTGGAGGAAGGCTGGTAAATGTTAGCTTGTCAATGTCGCACTGGGAACAAATACATACTCAGAGGCTTCTTCTTGAGGAAAAGGAAGACGGTATCCAGAAGCTCAAGGTACTTGGTGAGGTAGTTGAGCTGTCGCAATTGTTAGCTGGTAGTGCATGTAAATCTTTGCTGGAAACTTACGTAGTACAGGACCACGAGGGGCTGAGTCCAGCCACCCTCGGCATCGCAGATAGCATGAAAGATGCCACCACGGACAACGGTAGGAAGAAGCTGCTCAACGAAGAGAGCCAAGAGAGTACCGCTGATCAGAGTCAAGTAGAGGTTGTGGATGAGGAAGAGACCCTTAAGCTTGAAGGGCTCACGGTTGCGCATCCATTCGCGACCACCGAAGATGATGGCATAGTAGATAACGATGAAGATCGATGTCGACTTGAGAGTGGACATGGGGGTCTCGAAAGGCACAAACTTGAAGTCATTGGCGGAGTAGCCGACAACAGCAGTGAATGCCTTGTCAAAGATGGGCCACAGGTGAACGCCAAAGGGCCGGTCGATTGTGGGCAGCGGAAGCTGCTCGTAGAAAGTAGCGGGAGACGCAGACATGATGGGCGAATTGTACGTTGAAGCCGACACAATTGTTGACCGCGGGACCGTTTTATTAAGTAGGGGATTTGGAGTAGTCGAGTTACGTATTCGACGTGGCTTTTTTCTTCTCTCGAACCTAAGACGCGACAGAGCCGATGGCGCGGGGGAGGACACGTGAAAGACGAATAAGTAAAGACTGACAAGGAATGACAAGAAGAAGAAGGTTCTCCGGAGAGATGAAAAGGTTTAAAGAAGAAGCCAGGTAAACGGCGATTGTGGGAATGCGTAGAATTAAAAAGGAGATAAAAGGGGAGAAGGAGAGTAGAGTTTTAATTGAGGGAGAGCCAGAGGAGGACGGCGCATCAAAAAGGGGAAATTTCAATCCGCACCGCTACCTTCCCTCAATCGCACTTTTACCGGGCAGATTGGATCTCCGGCTGCCGCGGACGCTGTAGCAGTAAAGTGAAAGTGGCACCTGGCACCGCACTTTCCTTCCATCGAGGTGCCACTAGTACATCTTGTAGGGGGCATCTCGAGAATTCGCCCAATTGCCATGCGTATATCTTATTTCACCAACAGGCCAGCCCTGGGTACCAAGAATTGACCAGGCTCGTGCGCCTTTTGGCTACTGTTTTCTAATTCCTTTCGAAAAACCATGGCACGCGCTCACAGGAGGATGGAAGCACTCGCACTGCACGCGCATGCATGCCACATATGCCCGAGATGAGGCTTCACTCCACACTGCAATTACATGTGAATATGCCGGGTTCTCCGGATGCACCAATGAAACGAGGATGTTTAGAGACTACACGTGATTTATGAAATGCCATAACGACACAATATGCTAATGATGTCCCCTGAGGCTTGTGCCCAACCGTTGCTTATTACACTTGTCTGACTCTGCTGTGCCTGTGCCTGTGAGATCGTGTCCCGAGGCTTACTGGATGCCAAGACTGCGGTGATGACCGAATGGTGTAGCCCGGTTGAAACTCATTGGCCATGTCAAACTCCGGGATAAAAGCCCGTTAGACAATGGCATTAATATCCGTACATCGTATCACGACAACATAATGCCAGGTTGTCAGACGCCATTTGCAAGCTTGATTCGCTCATGGTGAGGCCGGAAAATAATAACAGCTACTCGAAAGCACCAGGCTGGAGGGATTGCGTAACTTGATCTTCACAATGGTCACTTCGGTACCCGACGTAAAATAGTTAGGTTTTTGACTTGCTACGAATCCTTCGTCATTGTAATTTCGAACCAAGGTTCCATACAAATATCGGAAATTCCCCCATGTCTGGATCGATCAATACTTTAACGAATCTCAGCACGGCTCATCTGAGCTAAACTAAAAGCCTATGAGAATCTTGATCAAGGTTTCGCTTAACTGATAGTGATTGCTCAATTCACATCATCCTCATCTCAAACTCAGAAGTTCGTGTGACTTGTGGCTACGGTGTGGCGGTGCTGGTGTCTCAAGGTGTGGCTACCTCGCAGCTGTCAATCAAATGGTGGGTGCCGTAATAATTTCAATGCCAGTCCGACTATTGGCGGTCTTCACTTTCCAATTCCCTGTTACCGAAGACAGCCTTGCCGATAGACCGCAGGACGTTGTAGTTGACTGGATTAAGCCAAGTTTGAGTTATTTCGGAAGAGTTTTGCTCCAGAATACCAAGCTCTATAGTCCCAGCACGTGTGGCATGAAGCTATCGTCAGTCTCTACTTTATTCAGCTACCATGATCAATTGAACTCCCTTGCGAGGTCCCTGCGGCAATGACGAATGGAAGCTAACTGGAAGTAAGCTGGTTGAAGTACAGTACATACACTGTCACTTCCATCAAAAGTCTCACACTACTGTAAACCTGCAGCACAATTCGCACTATAACCCACAACTACGCAATCTGGTCTAGCCTCACCTTAGTCATCAATCCTCAGCCCATCCTCTCGCCCAAACAACTCTGCAGTCATCACCCGAGCCGGAAAAAGCCAGCCCACTACCTCTACCAATACACGACTTGTCTTCCGACAACAGACATCTCCAGTCTCTGACAATAGACGCCTCTCCTCTCCAACATGTCCGCCTTCATTCGTGTCGCCCGTAGCGTTCGCGCTGCTCCCATTCGACCTGCTGTCCAACCCCTGGTTGCCCGCTCGGCCGTTGCCCACTTCACCACCTCGATTCCCCGACGAAGCGAGCACGCCGAGGAGACCTTTGAGGAGTTCTCTGCCAGGTAGGATCACTCCTAATACCCAATGGCCTGCCGGCTGCTTGGAACATCGGTTTTCTGTGCTGTGGAAAGGTGTCGCAAATTGACTGGGAGGATTGGGGCCTTTTGCGTGGTTGTCTTGCGGTTGTGGGAAAAAGATGCCGCAAAGCCCGCCTAGAGCTCTGTCCCCACGCGATTTCGCCCGAATACTCTCCAATGCAGCCGCACAGGTTTCTTGCGGAACCCAATTGCTAAACTACCACTCTCTGCAGGTTCGAGAAGGAGTTTGATGGTGTTCAAGACGTTTTCGAGCTTCAGGTATGTTTGCCCCACGGGGTAGAGCTCGCTGCTCTCCGGCTGGCTCCCGAAAATGTCGTATGACTTTGGCTTATCACCAAACCACAGCGCAACCTCAACAACGCCTTCGCTTACGATCTCGTCCCTGCCCCCTCGGTGATTGCTGCCGCCCTTAAAGCCGCCCGAAGGGTCAACGACTTCGGCACTGCCGTCCGCATCTTCGAAGGTACGAAATTTTGTCAATCAATTTCACCTTGTTGTCGTCCACTCGACCGATGGATCGGCGGCGTCTAAGCTACCCTGCTTGAGCTATGTCAGCGCAAAGACCCCAACTCGATACGGACCGTGCTTGCTGAAAACCATCGACGACTCACAAGGGAATCCCCTAGTCTAGCCACATTGCTAACTGTTGTTCCTTAGGTATCAAGACCAAGGTTGAGAACAAGGGCCAGTACGAGCAGTACCTTGAGGAACTCAAGCCCCTTCGAGAAGAGCTTGGTGTGTTGCTCAAGGAGGAGCTGTACCCTGAGGAAAAGTAGATTGTCCCTTGGTCTCAATATTGTGAGCCCTGTGTATACTGGATGTTGGCCGAAACGGAAGAGAATTTCAGACCCAAGAGGTAGACGGGGGAGTTTGGTTGTGGCAGCCCCAAATCGATTGTGTTATAGCCTTAAGTGCGATTCGGCGACGCTTGCTCTTTGCTAATCTCCTCCAATGTTGAGAGTTTTTTTGTATACCTGAAGTTCGTTGTTCATCCATTTGAGTGACTTATCTTTCCACCTTGACTGAAGCTACGCTACTGGAGGATTTACGTCAAAGAAGGTTTGATGTACAAATCTCTGCTATAACAAAATTTCGCATGTCAGTACAGTCTTCGGCATTCACGAGAAGCACAGGTCAAACTTCTATGCATCTCAAATAGATGCTCATTGTATACTGGGATGGAGGCTCTGAATTCCCAACTGCCAGTCCTATACGCCAAATTCCATGATAGCCTCAACATATAAAGGATTGGTATCATCATACTCTCATACATTTGCCTTCTGTAGCTCTTATTGTAAGTGATTCCATCTTCCATTTCCTGCCTGTTGTCCCACGAATGGTTGACCAGGGCCGATAGGGCTCGTCCCTCGACTAGCAGAGAATGCTGCCCGGGGTCGTGGGCTCATTCCACTTGGGACACGAGGGCTGCGAGGCATGCTACCGCCCCGAGTATTTCGGCCATTTGAAACACTGGCCAGCCTCTGGTTGGCATTAAATAGCTCAGCGTCTCGTTGCTGGAGCTGTGCTTGGAGGCCGGCAATTTGTCCCAAAAGTTCTTGGCGTTCCATAGCAACATTCTGTGCGTTAATGGCACGTAAGTTCTCTGATGCCTTTTGCTCCAACTCTTCGTTTTGGATCTTCAATGCTTTGTTCTCATTTGCCAGTCTCAAAGCTTGAGCATCAACATCCTGGTACCGACTCTTCATGAAATCCACGTCACTCAAGGCGCTCGTTCGCCTACTTTCGGAGAGCTGCAGTTGCTCTTTGACCTCGCTCAATGCTTCTTCCCTCTTGGCTGTCTCGGGATTTTGGTTGAGACGCGCAATGACTGATTCGAGTTCATCGATTCGGTGTTGTTGCTTCTCTTTCTCCTTTTGAGCAACCTTTGCGGCAGCTGCCGCAACACCCTCGGTTCGGAGCCTTTCCCTTTCAGCCACGGTTCGATCTTGAAGAGCAGCACGATTAGAAGACTCAATCTTACTCAAGGTCTTCCGGTGGTCCTTTAATTCTTTGTCGAGTCTGCTGATGTGGCTTTTGAGTTCTACTTCGACTTCGCCTGCCTGCGCAGTTTGTCGCTTGTATTCGTCGATCTAGAACAAATTTAGATACTGCCATATCTCTCATTTCCATGGTGCTTACCTGCTCCTGGATTGTCTCCAGAGTTCCCAAAGGCACTGAAATCATTGTTTTTCTGTCCCTGGTTTCGCTTCGAGGGGTAGCACTTTCGAGCATCTGGCGGACTGCAATGGGCATAGGAGGATTGTTGGTGTCAATCGGCGGATCGCGAAGTGGAAGAGTGCGCATTCGTTTAGCATCACCATCGCCTTCATCATTAATCTGAGGGTGATCAGCAATGTGAGCTTCAAGATACAAGTCGATACTTACATGCTTCCGCTTCAAGTCATTTCCATATAAGGCGTCCCCTGTGAAAGGCAGCTGGGTCTGTGTCCCCGGATTCTCGAAGATATCAAGAACGTCATCTGGGATACCTTGAGGCTCCCAATTCAATGTGTCGGTATTTCCATTGAAATAATTTGCGAAAATCTCTGCGACTTCGTGGGGTTCACAGTAGCCTCGTTCTGGTTCTTCGAGATACCGGCTTGCACTTACAGTAGATGCGAGAATTGCGTTCTGGGTCTCGAGTAACGTTGCGCCCTGCAAAGTATTATATACATGCTCAATCGAATACGTTGTCACGAGCCGTAGTACTAGCGGCGGCTTCCGAGCAGGATTGTCGCATAACTGCCTGGCGATCAACGAATTTGGATAACGATAGTCATAGCCGATAATGACGTCGAAGCTAAAAGGGTCGAAGTCTTCGCTGGTCAAAGCAATACTGATTCTTGCAAACGAAGCAAATTTGGTATGCCGGTTAATGCTTTCTGCCGAGCATTCAACCTTTGCTGCTTCAGCAAGTTTAAAAAGTAGTCGCACCAGTTCCTTGGTCCCAACCACAATCAAAATTTCCTTTTCTTTCCTGTCTAGTGCATCCATCAGTTCAAATAAGAAACTGAATTTGGGATTGGCATCACAACAGTATCTGGCGAGCTCTGAGCTGGGTAGCGTCTCAAGAACACTACCAATGACATCCTGGGGGTAGTCGCAAATCTCGAAGAGCCTTTCGAAAAGATTCTTGATCTTTTTAGTGAGCTCTTCACTGGGCTCTTCTTGAGTCTCGCCAGTGAAGCAGCGGCTAAAGGCTTGAATTTCGTCTTTGTGGTCCTCTATTACCTCTCCATAGTAAGAACGCCTGCTCGCCTGCATCGGAAGAGTGACTTTCGTTTGCACGTAAAAGTCGTTCTGCCCTGAAGAGTCTGACAGAACATCAGAAACTTGGTCGACGGGAATTTGAGCCATAGTAATAGAGTGCCCTGAACTTTCAGCCTCAGTGGGCACTGAACCATGGTTGGGAAAGTTCAAGGTATGAGTTGACGCAACTGGCTCATTTACTATACTGATGACGGTGGGGGAAATCGTTGCAGGGAGCAGGCTATCTTCCTCATCTTGGCTAATGATAGAATGGGTGAGGGATATGTCTGATTCAGCAAATCTCCTACTGAGCTCTTCTCGCATCCTGGCAACTGCAGAGGTGGAAGGGTCCGCCATAATGGCTGCCGGCGCTATTGAAGTCACGGGGGTGTCGGAGTTGGTTCCTATAGCTTGTGCTTTCCAGGGATCCATAGGGTAAACAGGCTGAGACTGAAGTACAGCAGCCTGGCTACTTGCGCTGGCAACAGGAACCGGTTCTTCATCGGTGATTGCTTCATAAGGTGTCACGTCCAGGGTCTCTTCGAGAGAATCGCCAACATGTGTCAACGCCGAGTCCCTGTCGAAATTGATATAGCTTTTTAGCTCATCGACAGCTGAATCCCGTGTTTGTGAACCCGGGCGCTCCATTTTTTGTTTTGAAGTCAATTGAGACTTTTCAAGCCCTTCAGAGTCTCGACTAATCTGTGTAGTGGTTGTGGGAGAAGGCGGTCTCTGGCTGGAGCCTATTCTTCGATCGGAAACACTACTTTTCTCGGGTTCGGGTTCAGAAAGCTGCGACGCCTCAAAACTTAAGCTCGATATGTCTAAGGATCCGTACGACGCTTGGGGTTGAGAATAGTATGTTTGGGGCTTCTGTGTCCTTTGTGAACCCGGAGAACTTCGTGGAGATGCAGCTGTCTCCCCAACGACGTGCCGGATGCTTTGGTCACTGGGCAAAGAACTATCAAGATGGATCGCTCCCTCAGATGTTGCAGGGTGAGAGTGGCCTGGTTGACGAGATGGTATGATTTCTGAGCCAGTCGCAGCCGAATCCGGAACAATTTGGGTTGGTGAAGCAAGAGGGGTAACCTCGGCCTTTGATACAAGCGTTGAAGTCCTGCCCGTGATGATGTTCAGGTCGGTGGATAGGCTCGAGTCGCCCTGTGAATCTGGAACGATGGTATCAATCCACTTGCTTGAGGAGGATAGTGCCTGTGACTGGGAGAGATCTTCCACGCCACTCACGCTAGTTGGTTTATCAGGGCGCTGGGGTTTAACGTCGCCCTTTTCGGATTGCAGTCCACGTCTTTCGTCTCGATCACTTTGGGGGTGGTGATGACTTGGCGCACTCCGCTCCACACCCGGTTCCCAACTACCTAGAGTCTCTTTTTCGAATGGAAGGCGGCTCGAAGAATCAAGGGCGTGATCTTGGACCACTCGCTGCCCGTCCCCAGAACCTTGGTGAACCGAGACGCTATCTTGGCCGTATGGGTCCTGATTCACAGGCAAGTTTCGGCTGTTCGAGGAATGGCTAGCTTGAGAGTTCGCGGTTTCAAAACTCTCGTTTTCCGGCGATAAGGTATCTCGAATACCCCCGGTCGAGCCTAGATTATCTCCGTCGAATATCTGATTGTTGGTATCGGCACGGTTCTCAGTATTTTCACTTTCTAAATCGTGGGTCTCTTCGAGATTATGAATGTCCTCAGTCTGGTCGTCCTGGTAAACCGCACCAGTGAACCCTCCAAAATCAATGGGTGATAGGTTGTCTTCAGGATTTTCGGAATCAGGATACTCCGTCTTCAGTAACACAGGAGCGTTGGCAGACTGAAAAGCCTCCCTCTCCGGTGACCTGACAATGGATTCGCGATTGTGTACCTCTTTCTGGCATACAACCTCGCGAACTTGGCGGTTGCTTCCAGGATTGTCTTCGGCCAAAGGTGATGATGGATTTTCGGATATTTCAGGACTTCTTGGAACAAAGTCAGGTCTAGCAGCAAGTTGGCTCTCGCGATCTTGATAGTCCCAATTTCCGGATAAATCTTGGGAATCTGGGATGGTGTCTTGACTTAGTTGTGATGCAAATGTGACTCGCTGATCATCATCCTCAAGATCCGTAATCCTTTGAGAGCTGTTTTGAGTAGTGACACTTTGATACTCAGCCGGGTCGAAGTTGTCAGGCTTACTCAACAGAACAACAACTCCTTGAGTAGGTGCCCTCGAGAGTTCGAAGGAGCTCACAGATTCGGCGTCAACAGATGAAGCAGAGATGAATGAAGGTACAGGCTCTTCGGACTTGATCCTGAAACTGCGGTTTGGCTGTACGTCTTGCTCGTGAGAATCGAATCGAGATATCTTGGGAGTCGATGCATCAAGTTTTGGCTGTTGTTGTTTGTTGCAATCCACAGGCGTCTCGGATTTACCCTGACGAGGTGTGAGATCTCGAAGCCCTCGTCGAGTTCTTGTCTCACGACGTTGAGCTTCAAGCTCTGTCCTTTCAAGTTCTCTCTTCTCTTTCTCTTTCTCCCAGTCCTCTAGTGCTCCAGCATTGAGGTCCTCGTACTAAGGCATATGTTAGCGTATGTGATCTCGTCTTTATTAACTTGACAGGGCGTCAAACCGGAATCCACTCGTTCTCATAAGTCTCACCGTCAGAGTCAGGTTCCCACTCTACAAAACACCGGTGATTAATCTCACCACTTTTGGGGTCTGCTAAGTACTCTTCATCAATGACCCGGCGAATGTTCCACCACTCTTTCTTCTTGCCCAACTTCCTGCGCTTTCTGGCAGGCGACTGTTGGACAAGCTCAGGTTCACTGTTTTGGGCTTGTCCTTTTCTTTTTCTTTTTCTTTTAGATTTGCGCACTGATGAGGTTCTGGGTGTGTTTGTTGTGGGCTGATTCTCTTCTTTGCGCGTTCTCACCATGGGTACGCTGGTACAACGTACGTGGGATGATAGCTATAGAACCGAACCCGAAAAGCCACAGGAGTGCAGCACACGGGCGTGGCAAATAGATGCAGCACAATAACGAAGCTGCGATAAGATCTATCCAGCGACGATTCCCTGCGGCGACCGGCTTCAGCGGTCAACGCTTGAAATAAGTCGAGGGTTGCGCGCCGCGATATGAGCAAGGCTGCTAAACAGAAGCAGCTTGGGGAGTGCTTTGGGGAAGGTCGTCGATCAATTCCCGCTAGAATGCACGTGATGGTCAGGCCAAGGATAGTGTGCTTTCAGGGTGAGAGATCAGGGTCCTAAGGCGAGCTAGTGGATCTTGGGGGCGTGAGGTGCAAGAACAGTGAAAGAAGGCACAGGGGACCCAGGTGAAAGACAGGGCGCTTCAGTGGATGGGTGTAGTTACACGAGGTGCAGGTGTTGAGTTGAGGCAAGAAATAGAAATCGAAGAGATTTCAGAGTTCAGAGTTAACTAAAATCAAGTTGTGGCCGAGAAAATGGAGTAAGATGCCTAGATGAATGTGTAAAGTGAGAGTGGCAGGTGCCTTCCTTCTTGCAATTTTTGGTTGTGAAGCTTCTCCAAGGCTTAGAATCCGTTCGGCCGATTAAGTCAAGGTACCTCTAGTAGGTAGCCCAAGCAGTGGGCGCATCGTCTGCACCATGCACGGGCAGGCAGGCAAATATCATTCAATTTTGATGAGCGTCGTGTTACACACACCCCAAAGTGATTCCTCACTTGTGATTCTCCTGTCCTAGGGCAGCAAACGAGACGAAGAAACAAATATTGGACTGGGCATGAGGCGCCATAACTCAAGCATGAAGCCATCAAACTCAACGAGACGTCCGAGACACGGTCCGAAAGATTGTGCAGCTTTTCTACGTCAATTCTAAGAAACATTGAGCTCGTTTTTTTATATTCCTCACATTTGCTCTACATATCTTAGGTACACTGGGTCTAGAATTGTGGTTGCAGTGCTTGTATTTTGGAACTGTATTAGAATAGACCACAAAACGCGCTCTTGTGCTCATTACCGCTATTGTGCCCTTCGCTTTTAAATAATTATTTCTCTAGAGAAAGAAAGAAGTAGTCCATTTAATGACTTGTCCCAGAACTATCCCAGCAATTGGCAACCATTGGCTGAAGTCCTGCTCTAGATATTAGTACTTACTTGAGTTTGTCTGAATGGGAACTTACATGAATACTACCGATAGCGCCTCGAAACTTGAGAATCTAATCGAGAGACCGAGAGAACAATCGAAAGAAACGCGTCCTTTCTGGTACCAGGAGAGCTAAAGAAATTAGAGACTTCAAATAATATATAATTTGGGTGTTCTTACCAGCTTTCTCCAGCTCTTTCTTTTCTCGACGCTCCTCGTTCATCCATGTCCACATTTGATCAATCTGTTTGTCTCTTCGTGCTATAGTTTGACGAGTACGTTGGCATCGTTAGTGTCGTCTAGTACGGATGTTCCTTGTAGGACATCGTTGAACTAGTGGTTAAATGACGGAGCGAAGCGTGAATGGTCGGAGTACTGCTGCTCGGACAGTTCCAAAAATAGCCATGATAATGGAAATGATAAAGCGAAAGATTTATTTTAGTGATGTTAATTATCTACGTTACAGAACGATTAATGTTGCTAATGACCGGGATGATGATGAAGGAAAGAAAGTGGAGAGCTGACACTGGCTCTGTGTAAGCGCTAAAGCAAGGCACGACAAGGTCGCTGCAAGCCTCCACTAAAACCCCCCATCCCCAGAACTTGATCGGGACACCTGAGCAGTAGCGTCACACCTTGTTCAGACTTCCATCAACATCCATAGGACAAAAGTGCTACAGTAAAGACTGCTTTTCACGCGAATTCTGGCCCTCGTCTTATCTAGAAACGCTACACGTACTAGTCGGACATATACCATTGTCGTCGAATGAGACAGGTGTCTTCTCTGTTGAGAATCATGTCGGCGCGGTTTTCAGTTCAACCCATAGGCCGCTTTGCTGGTGCAAGCCAGCCTGTCAAAAGACCAAAGGTGCTATCCAATACAGCGAGCCATTCTGTAGCTATCTGTCTGGCTTATACTAAACCTTTCACAGGAGTTTGCCTGCTTTTCATACGACGACAATCATGAGTTTCACCTAGACGACTCATCTCTCAAGTACTATTACACACCACAGCTTGGGGCTGACCTCTCCAAAGGCTTTGATACGTTTCAGAAGTTGGACGATACCGGAGATGATCACCTTGACAGTCTCCTCAAGACTATCGCTGCACACGAGCAAGAAACAGGCAAGAAGATTGATGCCAACGTTGTCACATGGAGAGGCATGATGACAAAGGTTCGACTTTTTTTGCCCATGGATGGTCTGACCTCAGTAGGTAGCTAATCTACAAGCATAGATTATGGCAGCACCTTTCGACCAGATGGATGGGTAGGTCTTCACCGGCGGTCTGCTCTCTTTCCCCCGTTGACTCATCGACGCATAGCTTTGAGATGAATGCCACGTTGTATCAAGTAGGTCAAAGATGATATACGCACCCTTAGGAGCACAATGACTGACAAGTTGTTTACGCAGGATTGCATGTAAGTCCAAGGAGTCCCAGAGATGTTGATGTTGGAAATTGATTTGAAAAGCTTCATCGAAGAGAACAACGCGTACAAGATCGCTTCCAGATCAAATGAGGGAAACAACAAACGAAGAAGAGGGCCACCATTAGAAATAATGCAGTTTTGGGGTGTGTTTCTCTATTTCAGATGTACGTTACGGTTGCTCACATCGTAATCTAGGATACAAGTTTGAAACGTTGTCGACTCTGCCAGCGCCTTGGGCAGAAACGTCCCGCGACTTCATCGAAAATCGAGAGAACGAAGTCGTCAATAATAAAGCTCAATATTGTTCTGTCGTCCGCACGGGTATCGGTAAATCTGTTCTATGTCTTGGTGGCGAAGTTGATGCCAGTGAGTAAGTCCTTCAGTTCTCCTCTCAACTGACGTTTCCACAGTCTGGGATTCCAAGCCTGAAGAAAAGGGCAGCCCCATCAACTGGGTTGAACTCAAGACATCAGCCGAAATTCGCAATCCGGGCGGCATGGAGAATTTCAAACGCAAGCTCATGAAGTACTGGATACAGTCATTTCTTCTCGGTGTGCCGCGCATTGTTGTCGGTTTTCGCACACAGGATGGTATTCTGGTAGAGGCAAGGGAGATGGAAACGCATCGTATTCCCGACATGGTCAATGCCGATCCGAATCCCAAATGGAACGCCGATATGTGTGTCAACTTTGCCGCCACTTTCTTAGAGTGTAAGTACTACTAACAGGCATGAATGGGCCCATTGCTAATCTGCTCCATCAAAAGGGCTAACAGAGAACATAAACGATGAGGGCGTTTGGAGAATAAGACGCGAGCCTCAGTCACCAACGATCGAGCTATTCAAGGTGGAGGAGACGGGTCACGGCGATATATTGTCTGATGAGTTCAAGAATTGGAGAATCAAGTTGGCTCTTGGGCCTAGCGATGCTTCCTGATAAATCTTGAGCTGGCTTGCGCATGATACAATCGTTAAGGAAAGATCGTCATTGTCACTTAGATCATTGGATACGGATGCACTATACTCAAATTCTTACTGTGCTCAATTAACAAGTCTAGGCTGTGCCTGCATCTAGTTGTCTACCTGCCAATATCGAAACAGCTGCAATGCAATGAAATATGAAAACAAGAGTTGCCTCCGTACCATCCATGTTCTTAAATGCAATCCTTACAACGCCTCACGCACCTCGCAGAAAAACAGGAAAACCAAACTAGTAGACCAGGTCAATGAGATCATCCGCGACATATCATTATATCGTGAGCGTCATGCTTGACCGGGGTCGTCAAATGCCGATGAAAATACCGCTGCCAATAAGTTCCTCAAAGACTCGCTTTTATCTTCCATCTAGAAGGCAGACAATGCAATATGAGTAGCAAAAGAAACTGCATACGAATCGTAGAACATATGAGGCGCAGTGCCGCCATGTTCTATCGCTCATCTCTGCCAATCACGTATGAGAATCAGACAGCGGGCCAACGGATTCGAAGACCGTCTACCCAACGTGAGTAGAGCACGTCAGATAACTGCTTGCAATGCTCCATGCCGGACCGGGCCTCCTGACCAGGATATTTGCTCTCGGTAGCCAACTTCTCAGGGTCAAAGTTCTTCTCATACATGGTAGGAGTATCAGCATGACGGCGTCGATGGCTGCGCAAATGAGGATTGTTTGAGGCCATGACGAGCTTGGTTGGACTCGACGCAGGGGTGGTGTTCTTGACAATCACAGTACCTTGCGGGGTGCCGTCCCCAGGAGTCTTCTGAGCAGGCTGTCGAAGGATCGTTGCGCTAAGCTTGTTGTCTTGAGAGATTGATGATACCATGCTCGTCATAAGGTGATAGGCCCCCTCAGGATCGACTGCGTCCAAGGCTGCGAAAGCATCAGATAACTTAGCCAGCGCTTCTCGCTTGTGCATCGCAGAGGTCTGAGCATGTAGCTCGGCCAGAGAAGGCTCCACAGCTTTGTTGTACAAGCGTCTCCCCAGTACAGCCTCTTTGCCATATGGTTCAACAGGGGATGTGGTAGGACGAGGAAGGTTCTCGTCACAGAAGACATCGTCGGGGGAGACTGGTCGGTTCCCTTGACTCCCGTTCGAACCATCTGAGGGGACTCTTCTGAAAAGACGCATAGTCGATCCTGAATTGCCAAATGACATATCTGGTTGGAGAGGTCTCTTAGGGGCGATGGAACCCCGGGGAGAACCAGGACGCGCTGATGTTTCTTGAGCTAAAGACGGTGCTCGTCGGACCGTTGACTTTCTGACAGTACCCGGGGCGGGAGAAGTTCCTCCAAGCGGACCATCCTTGACATCCAGCTTCTTCATCGCCTCCTCGGCGTTCCAAATGGATGATGGCTTCCGGTGCTGCTTGATTGTCGGCCTCCTGGGAGGTGGTGCGACAGACTTTACTGTGTCAAAGACCCATTCCTGCTGCTCATCCTTAGGGGTCATGCTTTGGAGGGTCTCTTGATAATAAATAGGATGCTTCTGTCTGTTCTGGTTGGCGTCCCACATCTGTCGACGAGCAATAAGTTCCTGTAGAGCCTCCACCTTGCCCGCGTTACGAATGAAACGGTGGCGTAGTAGGTCTTTTGCAGATGGTCGACGGTCATAGTCCTTGGTGAGGCACTGTGCAATGAAGTCCTTGAAATCTTTGCTAAAGTTGCCCTCAAGACGAGGAGCCGGATTTTTCGGGATGTGAAAGAGGACCTTCATGGGGTGGATGTGACACAATGGGGGTTCGCCGTTGGCCATCTCCATAGCTGTGATACCCAGAGACCAGATATCGGCCTTGAAGCTGTAGCCGTCTTGCTGAATCACCTCTGGAGCCATCCAGAAAGGTGTTCCGACAAAAGTGTTTCGTTGCGATTTGATGTTGGTCAATTGGGCCGCAACTCCAAAATCGGCAAGCTTGACTTTGCCAGTCTCGGATAAGAGCACGTTGGCGGCCTTGATATCTCTGTGAATCTTGCCCTCATTATGAAGGTATTGGATGCCGAGCAGCAGTTCGCGACAAACAATAGCAATGTGCGTTTCGCTGAAGTTGGCGGGTTTCAGCTATTCCTGGTTAGCAGTTGAGACTTCGTGTCGGAGTATTTTATGGAGAGACATACCAGGTCCAAACAGGATCCGCCGCCGAGATATTCCATGACGATCCATAACTTATGGCCTCGCAAAAAAGAGCCTTTGTATTGGGTAACGTACGAGCTGGCGCAAGTGCTCAGAACAGCGATTTCGGCCTGGATATCTTGGATATCATCATCGTTGGATTCAAGGTCGATCTGTTGACGTTGTGTGTTAACTCGTGTACCAGGCAACCGAAAGGATCGGACTCGGACTTACATGTTTGATAGCGACAGTTTCGCCAGTTGCTTTCTCAATGCCTTTGTATACGACGCCAAAACTGCCACCTAGGATACCATCAGCTAATGCGGAGAGATACTGCCAATATTGATACTTACGACCAAGTTCCTCGAGGACCTGATAATGCTCAGCAACGCCTTCGTCAGCCATTGTGAGTTGACGTCATGCACTGTCTCGACGTTACTTGGATTCACGCTGCTCGGGCAGAAGAGACAACGGAATAAACAAAGCTAATGCTGAGATCAATGGTTGACACAATGCGCAAAGACCGTCTGGTGAGTGAATCGAATAATATTAACAAGATACAAAAGCGTGTGCAATGAGTTGGAGTCGTCGTTCGTTAAAAGTCATGCGGATGAATGTCAAGGTAGACGGATGGTTGTCTGGGAAGCGGACCCTGTCGAAAGCTATAGCCAGATGGAACCCCCGGGCCCTTTGTTTACTTTGAGACGGGAGCTTAGAGGGCAGCTAATCGAGTGGATGGTCCGACACTGGTGTAAGCAATAGATCGAGAATTAAATATTGTTGAAAGCCTGTAGAATCGAATATTGAAAAAGACTGGACTCGGTGATTTTCTGGCTCAAAAATATTCCCTCCGCGCTTATATAGCAAATGCAGGTTCGTGGAGTCTCTGCCAAAGAGTCACATACCAGCTGCTTTGTCTCTCATGACTTCTCACTGAGGCACATTGCAGGCCGTGCCACACTCGGTGGGGAGCTATCCATCCTATCCCCCGGTCACTTTTAGCTTGTCATGCCCTGTACGGCTTCCCTGGCACATTGCTTAGCGCCCAGATTGCTTGTTTCTATGGCTCGGTTTTTAGTTAGGACAGAAAAAGTTTACATGACATAAATTTGGAGGCTGTTGATCACTGCTTCAGGTGTGACAGATGTTCGTATGTTTATGTCTACTGGTATCATGTCTGTTGTTTTCTTGCACACTCTCCAACGCACTAAGGTAAGGTACCGGTTGTGGAGGTTGCAACACAACGGCTCACCCGTCTCAAGGCACAAGAGACTCTGGAACTTAGGACAAGAGATTGGTAGGCATCCTAGTGCATGTTGCTCTTAACGACTGAGACTGCTGATGTCAATGAATTCTGGATGAGGAAAGTGGTCTCAGAAGAAGTATGGGGTAGAGAGACATGGTCACGAGAGTAAAATCCATTATCAATTAGAAGAGTTGTCGCATCATTTCATGAATTCTTTATATATTCATTGATTGCTCCATGTATATGGAGAGCTCCGTACCTGGGGTGATGGGATTCCGTGAGATGGGCAATATCTAAATGTCAGATGCAAATTGTCAATGCCACAAGCGAAGAAAGTGTGTTGACTTCATGGGGGGTTCCTTATCTTCATGCTATATCCCCGTCTCCCATCATAGTCTTGTTTGTTATAAGCTCCCAGGATCTTCATGATATGGATGCAACACTGCAACCAGAACAGGGCCCCAGTTGAAGCGAGATGGGGAAATGCACCCACAGCCTCACACCCAGCTCCAAGTTTGGAGGATGGCCAATGCACGTTTGCGATCCCCAGCAACGTTGACTTTAGCATCTAGACCGCAGGGTGGAAATGGGCCACCCTCTAATGTTTACCTTGGTACTTGGATCTAAATACTGCCTACCTATGCGAAAAATGAGGCCACCCTCATGCAGGGCACCTTGAACCATTGACACAAGAGTGACACGACAGCTGCACATTGCCTATTTTTCCGACCGACGATAATGTTCAGATGAAAATACGATCAGGAAGAAATATGCATGAGTTCTGTGTGTACCAGGTGGGTATCACAGATCAGCCTTATCTTCCCTTAGTAGGTAGTAGTGAACATGTAACATGAAAAGAACTTTAAGAACAAGACCACAAAAGCCAGGATCCAGCCTTTCTCAAGACAGAAGTGAATATTCCAAAGAAAAGTTTGCTGATTGTCTGATGATTTTCCACTCTGGTATGCTAACTTCTTTGTGACTCGCCTAGGCAGGTCGATTTCTTCAATCCAACTTTGTTTCTGTTGTCTCAGTTGAGTCCAAGGCTCCCCTTGCATTCAAATGGCCAAAGCTTCCGTGGGACAACTGAACCGCCAACCCCCGCCGATCTCGGGTTGCCCTAGCAACGTGGACCTCTCTCAGCTGTGACGCCAGACGCTCGAGCACCGCGGCTGTCCTACCGCTTTTTTGACAGGCGTAGCTTCAAACCGTCGTTTCTTTTCAACACGCTTCTCGCGCTCTTTTAATTTTACAAGAGCCTTACTCTCGAGGCCTCTGTATTGCCTTATTGTACATCCCACGATCTGTGGCAATTTATTTCTTATTACTCATTCATTACCTTACCTTTGCACAACCATATCCGCCATCCTGAGACTTGTTCGTTTTGGGCCCTCGCATATCGTTTTTTGGTCGTTAAGCCTTTGTCCGACAAAATCGTGTTTGATATGCCTGTATCTACAGTCCGATAAATCCTCATTTCGCTTCGTCTCGAATTGTTCGAGTCCAAACCTCCAACTTTGGGCCTTGTTTAGTCTCTGCTTGAAACCATTCGTCAACAATATGGCACCCGCTGCACCACCTCTGCCGACGAGGTTCCCATGTTGGTGTAGAGCGGTATACTCATGGGGAGGAGAGGTTTGTTACCATGCCTCTAAAGCCTCAAATTACGCTAACTTGAGAACAGTCGAAACGAGATCTGGGATTCATCGAGGGAGATCTAATAGAATGTTTGAATGCTGGTGATGGTTCGTGGTGGGTAGGCAGACTATACCGAGATCGAAGGACCGTGGGATCGTTCCCGTCCAACTTTGTTGAGCTTCTCCCCTCTCAGTTCCGCCCAACGACCAAATCTGTTCCGGCTCCTGTACCAAACGCACCACCAAGTACTGCACCGACAAAATCCAGAACGTTTCGAAAGCCATTCGAAGCATACGCCAAGGCTCCTCACTACACCAGTGCGAAACAACCCGAGATCTTCAAAGAGACCCCAAAACCTAAGGAACGACAAAACTCTGGTGCTTCATTCGCACCTAGTACTCATGAAACGGAACGAGGTCCGTCGCCTGCACCTCCCCAGTCATATAACCACCGAGGGCCTTCACCTGCGCCACAAGCCCACGATCACCGGGCACCTTCGCCCGCACCCTCACCGGCACCTTCTCACCACTATGGCTCACGGGCTCCATCTCCAGCCCCCACGCACAGTTACCACTCGAGGGCTCCTTCACCTGCGCCAATGCAAAGTTACCACCATTCGAGAGCTCCATCACCAGCTCCTCCTCATGGTTACGATGCAAGGGGGCCTTCTCCTGCTCCTCCGATGCACCAAAGCTATGGCTATGCTTCAAGAGGTCCATCTCCCGCGCCATCTTTCCATCGTCAAATAGTCCCTTATCGAGGAGGACAGGATAGAGGTAACTCACCGCCTCCCCCACCACCGCCTCCTCACCGGCAAATGACGAGAGGAGGATCCAGCGATCTGCATAGGAGATCTATTGATATCTCCCGTCATGGATCTAATGCCTCTTTCCAGCCCTTCTCGCCCTCTAGGCAAAATTCTAATAATTCCTACCGACCGCCACAGCCACCACAACCAACAATTAGGCATGGATCTAGAGGATCTTTCGATGATAGGTCATATATGCCATATACCCCTGGTAGGAACTCCCCTGTTCCGCCATCGCCCGCTGGAGGTATGACGCCTTCTCCATTGAGAGAGGCCATGGATGGGGTCATGGAGCAATTGGACGTACTAGGTGGTGGTCTTGGACGGCCTGGCCAAGCTCCTTCACCCGAGCCACCTACCGATCCCTGGTCTCCAGAATCCTTTGATATGCTGTCCCATCGTTCAACTAGAAGGGACCAGGAGCGAAGCAGGCCTAAAACCTCGATGGGAATCGCGCAAGATGAGGGGTATGAAACATATAGCGGCGAATCGTCTCAAGAAGTGTCTTATCAGAGTGGAGGAAGAGAAGACAAGCTCAGCAGTTATGTTGATCGCATGGAAAAGCGGTTTCAGCAAATGCATCGTCAGAACTCAAGGACTAGCGAGCCTGATGATGACCAGCCACCTCCTCCGCCCCCTAAAAATGTGCCGTACGAGCGGCCGAAATCGTCTATGGGCCGGTCCATTGAGCCTGAACGAAAGCTACGAGCTCGTAAGTCGGCATATGAGATCGGAAGAGGAGTTGCCCGCACATTAACAACAAAAACCAACTCGACCAATTCGTCGTCAGGCAATCAGAGCAATACCAGCTCATCAACACAAAGCACTTCAAGGACCTTATGGAGCGGGACATCAGCTGGCGCTTTCAGCACTACTAGTGCGGGAAGCCTTGCACGCTCAGGCAAGCGTCAACGTGCACAAAGTGCTCTGGGAGCACGAGACCTGGAGATTGACAGACCGGACTCTCCTTTCACAGGAGTCACCTATCACAGCAGTCATGCAAGTGATTCTCCAGCGCAACAGCGTCCCCAGACCCAAGTCGGCTTCCATGATGATCCTTCGTTGGAATTGGGAGGCTTGGTGCAACCAAAACCACCCAAGAGGAACATCTTCCGCAAAATATTTGACACCGCCAAAACAGGTGTTGCGAGCAGCCGTGGTGGTCTCGTCGCTGGTGGTCTCGGTATGGACTCGCCAAAATCACCCTTTGCTCGTTCAATGCCAGCTGGAGCTTCGCCTATGCCAGGTATGGGTAGCACGCCTACCAACAGAGACGTTGCGACAGAAATGGGATTGAGTGGCGGTGTTGATTGGGTTCAGGTCCGACGTGATGTGAATCGTTCCAATTCGCTCAGTACAATAGAGTTGACTGAGCGCCGCGAGCGATGTCAAATGATGGATCACCCTGCCCTTAATCCTGTCGATGAGCTCTACGAGGGCGTCGAAGGAGATGAAGGGGCTGACGGAGAGCCAGTCCAGGAACCCACCAACTACCAAGGGATTAACTTGTCTCAAGTAGACAAGAACTCCCGATTCATCAGCGGTCTTCCTCCCGCCATAACAGCCATCCAACTTGCCACTACATACGTATGCCGACCCTACAGGAGCGAAGTCCAGCGGCTGCGAGCGATCTTTACGTGGGTCTCCGAGAAGATCTGCTGGGAAGAGGACTTTGAGGGTGAAATCGACACATCACGGGTTATCCAGGCCAAAAGGGCGTGCGCTGAGGAGTATGCTGTCCTAGTGATGGAGATGTGTTCTGCCATCGGTATCCACTGTGAGATCGTTCGAGGCTATCTCAAGTCTCCAGGGGAGGTTTCCGAAATCAACATCATGCCACGACCCAACCATTGGTGGAATGCCGTTCTCGTTGATAATGAGTGGCGCATGATTGACTGTTGTCTTGCCAGCCCCTCTTATCCTCGGCGGGGTTTATACTCCAATGCCAATAACACGGCCGATCCGTGGTGGTTCTTGACCAGGCCACTGGAGATTTGCTGGACACATATCCCAGAACATCACAGTCAGCAGCACATCGTACCACCTGTCGCACACGAAACATTGCTCAATCTGCCATGTGCTTGTGCGCCCTTCTTCCGCAATGGTTTTGAGATGGTAGACTACAATACTGCATTGACTCGGATCGAAGATCTAGAGATGGTTCATATCAAATTCAGTGTTCCATGCGACGTGGAGATTGCCGCCGAGGTCGAAGTTCGAGGCTATTCGAGAGATTCAGACGGAGATGTGTTCGAGAGCGGCGATATCGTCAAGAAGAGGGCACTGGCTCAAGCTGAATGGTTCAATGGCATCAAGCGATACACTGTCAAAGCTCTACTGCCTGGAGATGAAGGGCAAGGTACCTTGAAGATTTATGCTGGCAAGCGAGGCCTTATGCACAGTATCAAGGATATTCCACATCCCCTTGCCTTTGCATTGCCTATTGTCCACACAGGCGAAAACCCGCCCTATGAGTTTGTCACAAGACATCCAACTCCTCACGCACAGAGGCATGATATCTATGTGGTTCAGCCGCAGTGCCAAAGGCTTGCTCTTAACAATACTTTTGTCTTCGCCATCAGACAGCACCCAAGTTCGCTGGGTGGATCGGCACTTACACCGTCATCTAATCCAGGCGGCACCAGCCCCATACCGTTCGCCCGCCCCAGTTCAGCGCTGAGCATGAATGCGTCCAGTGTTAGCGGCTCGACCCCAAGCTCAGCTACGGGCACTGTGGCTGGGAAGAAGCCTGCCAAGTTGGCGATACAGACTCCAGGAGGCAAGATCCTCCGTCTTATGAGGAAAGAGGATCGTAAGGGTATTCACGTTGGAGGTCGAAGTCTCTCAGGTAGCGAAACTGCTAGTGATGGTGGAACCTGGGAAACAATAATCAAGTGTTCAGAGAAGGGTGTATGGCGAGGCCTTGTACTCGCAGATCGCACAGCTCGATGGTGTGTCTTTGCTGAATGGGTTTGCATGGGTTGATCATTACATACGTAACGGAGGATTAGCAGTGGGCAGACTTCGTTGGAGTTTCTTCTTATGTTTGGTTGTTTCGTCTTCTAATACCCAAGGAGGAGGATCTTGCATGCCCTGACGCACAGCGGCATGATTATAGAAGTGCGCATGGGCCTTGGATTTTCTCTGTTTTGGTAGGGATGATCTATTGCATTGGGGTTTGTTCAAAAAGTAGCAGACATGTCGGAAACCTATCGCAACGTGTAAGGTAATAGCATGTCACGAGCAACGATTGCAGCACATGATGAATAATTAAACTTATGATTCTTTATTAATGTCTTCAATAACAAGTGCAAGTGAAGATAACAATAGTCACACGAATAAGATAAAGCTCACAAAAGGAAGTTTTGTTGGTTCCATCGAATAACTAATCGTTAGTTTGACTTGTAGTTCCGCAATTTCCATACCGTCTCGGCCAATCACATTGCTCTGCGACACGACGATAGGATCCTGTCGCACTCGTGCCTTTCCATTGTTTTATGGTTTAAACCTAACACGATCGAATCCGCAGACGCAGCAAACAAGATAATAACGAGCAGGACGAACGAGCCTCGATAGATTGTGCTATAGATTGTTGTGTTTGACAAGCGAGCCGATACAACCCCGTCCGTGAATGGCAAACGCACCGACAGACCAAGACGGACCATGAAGCGCAATCGCGTTGGTCTGCGCACCGCGACGAAACGACAGATCGAATGCTGAAATCGATACCGAGAAAGCGGAATACAGTGACTTAGGAGAGGCCATGAACTACAGGCCTTTTCATGGCCAGGGCCAGGGCCAGAGCCAACAGGGCTCACAACAACCGCTGCCAGTGCCCGACATGAATCCGCCTTCATCTTATATGCCCGGTGGTTACCAGCAGTATACGAACCCTCAACATCAGCATCAGCAGCAGTTCTATTCGATGCCTCAGCAGCAGGGTCAGCAGCAGCAACAACAGACGTACCTTCAGCAGCAGCAGATGGCGCAGTTCGGCGGCATGCAAACGACTTTTCAGGGATACGATACAACGGGACAAGCGTATGGGGGACACCAGATGCAACCAGCTGCCGCGCAATATACACCTCCAGCGAATGTTTGGCAGCAGCAGCAGCAATCCCCGGGGGGGCAGAACATGATGTATCAGCAACAGTATCAACAATCGCATCATCATCAACAGCAACAGCAACATATGTACCAGCAGCACGTCGCGTCGCCTCAACAACACGTTCAACCGAGAAGGCAGTCTGGTCACGTCCCTTCACCGCAGCAGAGACCTTCTTCGATACCCCAAAATCAAGGATATTCACTCCCCCAGGCGCAGCCACAACGGTCTCAACACCAACAGTATTCGCAGCAGCATACGTCACAGCAACAATACCAGCAGCACGCGCACTATCAGCAGCAGTCTCAGGTGACGGCTCCTCAGCCATCACCGCAAACTGCACCAAAGCAGGTAGCCTCGCCGGCTCAGCCACAGGCTCGACAAATAAAACAGAGCCAGAAGCCACGCCAGGACCCTTCCAAACAGCAGCAAGAGACAATTCGACAACCTGCGCAGGACCCTATAATAATAGATGTAGATGAGCCCGCATCGGAGATAGTTGCACAGCCTGTCCCGGAACCAACCACGCAACAGCCAGTTGCACAGCAAGAACCGGAGCAGATGGTCTATGTGAATCTGCAAGACATCCAAAAACTGCCATCGCTTCCACCAGTATCCATGGATCAGACACAAGGCGGTCCTACATCTCACACAGGGAAGACAGCGAACTGGGACGCGCAGTACGAATCAGGTACTGTCAAGCCTATGGACATTATGCTGAGCAGCCCACAAACTCAGCCTCTTCCGCCTCCTCAGCCAAAAGCCCAGGCATCTCATCACCAACCTATGCAGACACAACCTCAAATGGCCACTCCCCGGGCAAAACCGAGCCCTCTCTCATCCGTGGTAAACTCACCAGCGATTAATTCTCGCTCTCCGAGTATCACCAAGAAATCACCCGCAAGCACGCCAAAAAGTAGGCCCCTTGACACAGTCCATCTTATGGTGGCAGTGGCCGAAGAATGCTTTGATAAGGCCCGTGGTTCTGTACATGATGTCGCGATGTCACTAAATGCCACGCGGATAGACGAGTACCAGAAACTGATCTCGACAGGCCTGGCGTGTCTAGAGGCGTGTTTGCAAAGTAACAGACTATCTCCGCGCCAAGAAGCAAAGATGCGGTTGAGGTACGCCACGATAGTATTAGAAGAGACAGAGAACCCAATGGAAGCTGAGACAGCTGTCACAAAAGGCATTTCTCTTTGCGAAAAGGTAAGCGACGACCAACTTACCTCCGTACTGCACAGCTGACCGACTCCGACAGAATGGCTTGGCCGATCTCAAATACTGCATGGATTATATCAGGTTGAAACTCCTGTTTCAGCGAAATCACAAGGCTGCTTTGAATGCAGCTGATCGTCAAATCGCTGACTGTGAAACGTAAGTTCCGTAGCAACTGAAGTCCGGCATCTATTGACTTCCTTCACAGCTACAAACACATCCAATGGGTTTATGCTTTCAGACTATTGAAGGCTTCATTTTACATGGAGCTTGGTCAGACAGCTGACGCCAGTGCACTGGAGAACATTCGCTCTATCCAAGTTACAGCTAGCTCCCGTGGCGACGATGCCCTGAGTGTGTTTGCCTTCATTCTTGAAGGTCTGGCACTTCTCAAGGCTTCTAAAGATGGTAACTTTGAAAAAGTTCAAGCTTGTATTGCTCAAGTAGCAAAGTACCAGTGTGAACCGTCTATTCATATCATGCAACTTGATATACTGACGCTACTCCTGGATCTTGTCTGCACTATCAACCACTCTGGCATGGATTTGATGCATGATAAGCTTAAAATGCTTCAAGATCGCATGGATGCGTGCACCGACTGGCATAACGTCAAGTCTGACTTTCTCATTCCGGTCAAGAAGCAACCTTCTACTGGCCAGACTATCAGTAGTGACACAGCGGGCATCATTCGAAGCGGTGAGGGTGTTCCACAGGATTTTCTTGTCATGTCATTCATGACCAAAGTCGAGTTGAACTCCCTTGTGTGAGTTACCACCCTTAACACATTTTCCCCAACTTAGCTAACATGTCTAGCCTCACTTTGACAGGACTCGTGAATATGCACAAGCCCAACACAAATGGTCCACAAGGTCGACAAAGTCGGCAGACAGTCGATTTCTTGAAGGAAGGCGTGCAAGTCCTGGATACTTGTAAGTGGCATTTGCTTAATTGCCCGGATATTTTATTGATATGTACTAGGGGATAAAGTGACAGCCGGCTTCAGATATGGGCCGTCCATTTCATTACAAGATGCCATTGCGCAGCGTGAGTGGCGGCTGGAAGCTCACTGCTACCTTACCATCTTACTTGGCCTATACGCAGCTAGTCAATGTCGATGGGACCTGGTAAAGCAATACATCGTGAAGCTTCAGGATATTATGATACCGTCCACGCAGGGCATCCTGCGTTTGCTGGCTATCTACCTATCGGGAGTGTTTGACCAGGGCACAGGGGAACTAGATGCTGCTATGAACACTTTCCAAAAGCCTGACTTTGATCTAAACCAGCGTGGAACTGGTGTCAAAGCCGCACATCGCGAGTTAGCCATGCTAGCTGGTTTGAACAGGCTTTGGATCATGCAGCATCCATCACACCGAAACGATCGAGCGACACTTGATCTGATCGAAGAACTAAGGCCGTTGTGCCTGAGCCACCACAATGTCGACCTACGGACTGCTTGGCATAACGTTATGGCTGCTATTAGCACCGATCCACCCCAGCAGCTCAATCAACAAAAGCAGCACATACAGTCTGCCATGGCCGGGTCCAAATCCACTAAAAATTTACTAGGCGCAGCCGTCACACTCGCTATCATGCGCAGCCGCTTATTCGAGAACGTCGTTGGCGATCAAGCTCTGAAAAGCGCCTTAGCAGCAGCCAAGCAGGCTCATCGCAGTGGCAATGTCTTGTGGCAGAGCGTTGCAGACGGTATGCTTGCTCACTCTTATGAAGTACAGGGCAAGGAAGAAGAAGCAGCGCAAGAATGGGCGAGGGCGACAAGAGAAGCCCAAGATGCATTTGCAGGAAGTTTCTGAATGAGAGCATAACCTGGTTAAGTAGAGCTCACAGGACTGGCGTTTATGGCAAGGAGTTCTCCCGCATGTTTAAAAAGAGAAATTATTTCATGATTGTATATCAGACTCGGGGGGGTTGTGGAGATCTGTACGATACCTGACCATACATGTCTTTGGTCTTAGCTGTTTGTGGGCAGAAAGTGGTAATTAGATACGACACAAAGTCGTGCTTTTTAGCCGTGATAACGGCATCAATCAAGTTCCTGGGCTCGATTGAGTCCTGAGCTTATTAGAGGCATCTCCATTCAGCAGACGCATTGTGACTTTTGCAAAGATAGTAGATCACCGACGGAATCCGGGGGGTGGTTGAAAGCCTGGAGGGGGCATAAAACCAGGGGGGGGAGCACCAGCAGCACCGGGGGCTCCTTGAGGAGCAGGAAAACCGGGCGGAGGAGCAACTGGGAAGCCCTGCGCCGGAGACCCAGAGGGTGGTCTGAAACTGCCCGGGTGGAAATCAGCTGGGTTGGTGTATCCAGCCTGTGATTGTGGGGGTCGTGCAGGCAAACCTGAGGGAGCTGGTGGTAAAGGAACGGAGCCTCTTGGAGGAGCTCCGGGGGGGGGAACTCCGGCATTGTATGGCGACGGACCTCGGCCGGGAGGTGCAAACCCACCCGGGATGCCCTGTGGAGGCGCGCCGATGGGGGGCATTCTTCCCATAGCTGAAGGATCGAAACCTGCTGGAGGCGCAGCTGCAACAGGTGGTGGTTGTAGAAACGCCTGGGGCACAGGCTGTGCTTCTGGGACGATGTTCCGTTTCTTCGCTTGGGCAGCGAGCTCACGCTCAGCCTCGTCACCATGTCTCTCTCCCTTTCCGTCCTTCTTGAAAGCATACTGGACCGAAACCTCCTTACTCAAGATGTACTGTCCGTGCAAGTTCGCGATCGCAGCATCACTGCTCTCAAAGTCGGCAAAGCTGATAAAACCAAAGCCCTTGCTCGCGCCAGACTCCTCCCTTGCGACCTTTGGCGGACTGAGTAGTGGACCGAAGCGACTGAAGGTGTCGTAGAGGATCTTCTCGTCAACCATGGGATCGAGGTTTCCGATAAACAGCTCGGCGCCAACCTCTGCGGCACGCTGCTTGTCTGCGCTAGCCTTGTTGACGCGCAAGCTCTTTCCATACAGCTTGATGCCATTCATAACATTGGCGGCGTATTCAGCGTCTGTGGGTGTGCGAAACTCGACGAAGCCGAAGCCCTGATGCGTCTGGGTAACACGATCGCGAGGCATGTGGATGTTGTGGATGGGGCCCATCTGAAGCATGATCTCGTATACCATCGCAGATGTTGCGCGCTCGTCGATGTTTCCGATGTAGACCGTCGCCTCCTTGTCTTGTTCCCTAAGAAGCGAGTTAGCTTTGCTCGCGTTGCCATGAGATGGGAGAGCTATACCAATGCCTATTTTGCGCCATGATGACAGATTTTGAAGAGACCTTTGTCTCTTACAGTACGGGTGCCTTGGCAAATAAAGAGGGCGAAGAATTGACCAGAAATTGTGCTATCGTGATGATGAGATGAACAACTACCTAAGCTATCACCTTCACATGGAGCTTTTAGAAATTTTGGCTGATGGTTTGGGATGTCTGAGGTAGCCTTGTCGCGTAAGCCACACGAGGTGCCCGGTGAAAATGTGGCGTCGACCGAGGTTCTTCCGCCCAAAACGTCAGCGATTCGGAGGTGGAATTTCCAGCTCCCGAGAGCTCTCCGAAATTTTTGGGAAGACGTCAACGCCAACGCCAGAAGCGACTGCGGTCTATAGATTCTCAGTCTTGAGCTTTGAAACATCCGGTTGAGCCGCATCGTTTTGTTGTGTAACTTTCTCAAAGTCCCTCAACTACACGTCTTTGAATTCAGTCAAGATGTTTGCCCTTTCCGAGGAGTCCAAGGTATGATAGAGCTTGGAGAGGTCTCTATCTATCACAGCTTCGCTAACGATTAGCACAGGAGCGCATTGCCAAGCTCATTGACGTTTCGCGCGTCGCCATCCACTAGTATGTCGTCGATATTTGGTTTCATTGCTGGGCGGTAACTGATTTGTGCTACAGTGGCTATCTTCCTCTGATCCTCTATCTCGGTACGAACAAGCTCGAATAACGATGTGCGATCGCAACGGCAGTACTGATCATATATTCCAGGCTACACCCGAAGCGAGCCCCGACCTTCAGTCATCCGGTATGCATCGATCCCTACGAACCGCATACGTAAGCAATGCTAATTGACTCCATCTAGCCTTCTCTCTCCCCTCTCCTAGGCGGGGAGCAGTTCTACAGCTATACAAAACATAACAGTGTACATTATCATGTGGAGATGTTTTTCAAGGGAGAAATGGACAACTACCACCAGCATTCATGGCGTTGGGACACGGCGTGGTAGAATTTGACGACGACCGCAGATATGCTTGGGAGGAGGGGGTTGACTGACTGTACGAAGGAGTGTGAAAAATCACAATGTATCATCTTGCAACGCTATGACGCCCAAAAATAAGGGCATACCACTCATAATTAAATCTTGTCACAAAAATATTCTTTCCATGGAATTTGATCGTGTGAGTGAGTTTCGGTTTGATGCGGCAGAAGATGCAAGAATTGTTCTGGTGACGTCGAAGCCTCGGCCGAGCTTCCGTAGCTTTGAGATCCGCAGAAATATTGTATTGAATAATTATTTCAGCGGCACTCAACTTTTCCCAGCCACCACTCTACCTCATGGCGCTCTTCTATGCTCTTTACCCTCGTGAAACATGACATTCGGCTTGTAGAATTATCTAATCTTCCTATATGCCCGACTCAGACCATGCGGGACTCTCTCCCGCGACCATCGAGTCCATCGCCGGTCTCAGCGCTGGTACAGTCGCGACATTGACTGTTCATCCTCTAGACGTCGTCAAGACTCGCATGCAGAGTATGGCCTATTGGATCTTACCCTTCTACCGTAAAATCTCAGTTTCTGACAACTGTATCTAGTCTATCGTAGTGCAGCCCCCGATGCTGTGCGTCCAACAACAGTGTCTATTCTCCGTGCCTTAACATCTACTCCTCACCCTGTCGCCTCTCTCTACCGCGGTCTGACGCCTAATCTTGTCGGAAATGCCTCTAGTTGGGCCTCTTTCTTCTTTTTCAAGTCACGCTTCGAGCGCGCTCTCGCTACGTGGCAGGGTCGGCTGGGAGGACGTCCCTCTGGAGGCGATTACTTCATCGCCAGCGCTCTGGCGGGCGCCGCAACGACTACGTTGACCAACCCTATATGGGTCCTTAAAGTACGCATGGTATCCTCTGATCGAGGCTCTCATGGTGCATATCCTTCTATGTTGGCTGGCGCCCGCTCCATTCTTCAGACTGAAGGCATTCGGGGCTTCTACCGTGGCCTGGGCATCTCTCTGATAGGAGTATCACACGGCGCTGTGCAATTTGCAGTATACGAGCCCGCAAAGAAGTGGTACCACGCGCGGCGTCGAGAGAGGCACGGAATCGAAAGGGAGCATATGACCACTGAGGCTACAGTTGGGTTATCGAGTCTGTCCAAATTCGTCGCTGGTGCTGTCACATATCCGTACCAAGTACTCCGGAGTAGACTCCAGAACTACCAAGCTGACGAGCGATTCGGTCGGGGTATCAGAGGCGTCGTTGTAAGAATATGGACCGAGGATGGACTCAGAGGGTTTTATCGTGGTATGGTACCGGGTGTTGTTAGGGTGATGCCCGCAACATGGGTGACGTTCTTGGTGTATGAAAATGTCAAGTACTATCTTCCTCAATGGGCTTGAGGTGTAATCTGACTAGCATGGCGTTGGGGGTTTACGTTATCACGGTTGCAGTCTAGATATATATGGCATCTAGGAAGTATGGGAAGTGAAGAGCACAGTTCAAGAGACATACAGCCTAGGGCACTCGTCGCTTTATCGTATAATATGGTAGAGCCCCGTTGATTTAACCCATCCACATTATTGTCGCTGCCTAAGTCGCATTTGCCTTCTTCGCCTCCTCCTCTGCCGCAGCAGCCGCTTCGGCCTCGATCCTACGCATCTCACACACTTCGCACTGATCAGCTGAGACATACTCGGTGAAATACTCATTAGTGGTCTCGCATTTGATACCCTGGCTATACTCAGAACATTCTTGGAGTTGCTCGGAGCCACTTATAGCTCGCTGGCATTGTGTACAGTCGTACTTGGTGCACTTCAGGACACACATTATTATAAGAGGTTGGCAACTTGAATATGTGAATTTGCAGCTGGTTCTGGACAGTAGCTGTAAGCTTTGTTTTCACTTTCTTTCCAAGTTGGGTTCCCGTTGTCTGTGGTAGCAATGGCTTTTATACTAAGTGCTGGCCGTGATTCAGATATCTTGCTCCCATACACTGACTGCGGTTGTTTCTTTCAATTTGCCTGGCGGGCTTGAGATATGACGCAGTGAAACACTACCAGTTTGTTACATTCGGTAGCTTCAACGCCTGGTAAACATGTTTCATCATTCGACCATCTTCTTGTTTTGGTTTCGTATAGACCTCTAGTTGTTACCATAGGCAATAGTTGATGGTGTTGGCGAACATGGGACACCATCCCCTCACATGTATCAGTACTGCCAATCAATTTTACTATTAACTGAAACCCATTCTTGCTTATAATTGTATTGGATTATGTTGTATGTGATAATTACCGAATGGCATCTATAATTAATTGGGAGAGTGAGATACCTGATGTGCCGTGAGACTGCCCTAAATGCATATGCGAACGTGATTCATCCTGATCGAACATCACAGCTGTGGTGTAAGTCAACCACACAGAAAACGAGAAATTCCACAAATAACCCTACACCTGCCATATTATACGTACTGCAATCATTACTGTCGCAATTTAGTGTTACAATGCCGCCTTCAGCACCAGTTGAGTTCAAACATACCCTACACCACGAAGTGACGAACTTTGAGTGCCGATGATACAAAACTTATGAGCCCTGATAAAATATGACTGAAACACGAAAAGGGCAACGAACTAGCCCACTGTATACAAGTAATTCCGTCTGGGATTCTTCTTAGCTACCTTGTCTCTATGTCATGTCCTGATCATCAGCCCATGGATTGATACTTCCAACTGCAGTCACCATCCATACACACATCACGAACACTTCCTGAAAGCTCATTTCAGATACCCCGGGTATCACTTCCAATCAAACAGATTCTGATCCGGTCCCTGAAACTTGCGTATATGGACTCAGTGTCAAGATCTCGCCGAAAGTCAATCGAACCCTCGAAATCCCGACATCTAGTCACAGTCACACCACAGATTGCCTGAGCCTTTCCGAGCTTCTCCGCAGCCGAAGACGGCTGCAAAGACATCACGCCAACCGTGGAAACGAGATTCTCTGAGCCAAAGAAACGGGACGATTTTCCATTTCAAAACCCCCCTTCATGGTTTGTTGAAAACCTTTGGCATGGGGAAGCGCATCCTTTCAAACCTGGCCCCTGAAGCCGCAAAATCAGTCGATTCGTACAGGGGCACAGACGAGATACATCGCCTACATCCCCCATCCATTCACTGCTAAGAATACATGGCCGCAAGTGAGAGTACAACGTCCACCTTACTATCTAACAACCACCGCAAGTCATCAGTCGCAAATCAATGATGCAGACATGACAAAGTGGTATGAGAGGTTATCCAAATCGTTGCTTCGATGCCTGGCCATCCTCGTAAGCCGGGCCCGCTCCAGCAGCCCATTCAATATTGTTTTTGGTAAAGCAGAAGCGTGATTATCGTGTTCTGCAGCCAGGGTGACTCGTGGGCGTGAGACGCCTGCGTTTAAACAGGCGTGGCTCTGACATGACAAGTGAGTGATCGGGCGGCAGTCGAATTCACATGACAAGAACTTTCTTGCGATCTTCCATACACACAGCACACGAGTCTCAGGATCTGATGCGGCCCCATATCGTGACAGTATTTTTCGTCAAAACATGGACGATACGGTGTGCGTAAAAAACGCGCAAATCGGTTCACTGCGCCGTTCAAGGTGAACCAACAACCATGCAGTTCACTGTCGATTTATCTTGACTCTGTCAGTTTTCTGTTGCGAATAACCCGCGGCAAATACGACGATATATGCTGAAACGATCAAGAAAGGCCTCTTTTCGCATGGTAGTTTCGCGGTTCTTACCCCAAGAGGCATAAAAGCAGACATATACTGGCCGCGTGATGCCATAGCCGATTATGACAGGTAATGAATCGAGGGGTCCTCTGTTATCGAGACACTCCATATAGTAAGATTTTCAGGATTGCGTCGTATCGTCTCCTCGTTTATTAGAAGAGGAGGGGGAAGTTGTATCTCGAGAATTCTCCATGTCCGAGAATAACTGTCAAATCCTAGAACACAACTGTCATCGGAGTCTGGGACTAGAACAGGAAGTGATACCGTTCCATAAACGGCAGAGCTTGCGAATTCAGTACGGGACGAGCCGAAGTGCTCGTCGACAGGCCCTTCTCGGTTGATCGCTTGACCCCCCAGATCCCGAATGCTTGGGTTGACAGAACACTTGCTCTTGTCCCCTGTTATTTCCCGGTCTGTCCGAGATCTGACGCGGCCTTATTTGCTTATGTGTTTTGAAGTGTTCCAAGATATCATCAACTGGCGACCATCAGTCCTCAAGGTAGTAGAACAGCATGTTGGTTGAAGGCATCATGCCAAGACTAGGATCTCTGATTCAACAAGATGGGGGATCGCGACCAGGGCATTTGGAGATCGGGTCCCGGGACCATGTGAATAATGACACATGCATATCGAGTCGTGAGCTTTGCGAAGGCTTGTCCACCTGCAGAAGTGTTGTAGAGGCGAAGGCTGGAACTCAAGTTTCGTGGGGAGGACCCTCTTCTTGGTAAACGCGATGTCACCTCGACACCTGTTCAGACCCTGGTTGGCTCCGCACGATGTCTCCCACAAGCTCCAACCAGAGCCTCCAAGATCGAATCTTGCATGCATGCTAATTACAGCCAGCTGAAAATGTTTACTCATGAAACGTCACGATAGGAGACATGACATCCCTATCTTTTGGGCGTTTAGCCACGAATGTCGACCACGCACCCTCGGGACGGAAGAAAAAAGGAATCACAGGGGAGTATGCAATGGCCTTGGCACAAAATGATGACCACGAGAAAAGATCGTACATGCGTGATCACCCCGAGAAGGGGGAAACAACGACGTTTCCTGTATGACCTTCTTTGTTGTCTCTGAAAGCAAGTTATAGAGCCTGCACAAAGCCATTTTCGGA